TGCCTGTTTGCTGTTCAACAAAATAATGTTTCTTTTGCTTTTTGTTCAACAAAAGATCTCCAAAAGATGCCGCTTGGAAAACTGAGCTTTTTGCATACATTATTTCTCGAGAACGAAGAGCGCCCCAGCCAAAAAAAATTCAGAGCAATGTTTCTCAGGTACAACGAAGCTTACATGCCAAAATTCAGCTATTTTTGAACACTTTCAAAATGGCCAAAAAATCTAGGGGACGTTCTTGCACGCGGCCTTTCAAATATGGCCGTTCTAAACGGTGTCGGGATCAAATCTTCTCACATACCATGTACCTTTACAACAAGAAATTTGACTGGCTGTTTATAGTAGATCCAATCTGATTGGTGTGACACACATACATCTCTCACTCACTCACGCATCCATTGACCCGTCCATAACATAACCAACGTGCCGACTAAGAGGTATTTTTTTTACAAAAAAAATAACTCAACAATCTACAAAAGGAGAACTCCTGACTCTACCAAAAGGAAGCGTTTGGTAATCGTTCATACTTGACAATCTGTCACGCCACTTTTATGCAAGTTTTCTTCTTGTGACAACCCGATGACAGCTATCAGTTAGAGATAATTATGCAAAGAAACATTTTTCATTTGCAACTTTGCATAGAATCCATCTTTATTCAAAGAATTTTTTTAAATGAAAGATCACAATAAGATCTATCTGAAAGAGCAAAAAACATTTTTTGGGAAAAATGATATATGTGATACCTTAGGCACCTGATTGTAGAACATAACGTTTATGGACTACATGCCAAGTTTTGTCCAAAAATCTTCAATCCTCTCAGAATAAAATGTGATTTTGTGAAGCCTCACTAAGCAAAAAGTCCAACAGTAACACTAATGTAGTGAAGATTCAAAGAAAAATCATACAAAATCCATGTTATTTAAGAGTTCCTGGTGATTCATGTTCACTGCTGCCATTTTGAAAAGGTTTCCGCTGTTGAAAGTCCTGCAGACTTCAAAAGTGTTGTTTCTGTTAACTTGTTGCTAGGTAGGCTACTGGACCCAGACTTATGGTTTTTCGTATCTTGATTTTTGAGGACTAGGGACAAGTTTCAAATCAAACATGGCATCCATGAAGATAAACAGTGCTTGAACGATCAAAAACACCTTTGAAAGCAGGTAGTGAGAAGAGAACATCGCAGAGTAAAGCAGATAAATGGATGAATGGCCTAACAACCGACCCAGACCACATTCAGAAGTGCACTTGACTTCCGGCAAATGAATGAATTTTTGCTTTTCTTTTCTCATTCCCCTGTGCTTATTTTATCCCAAAATCTACATTTCTACAAAATAGTAGGCTTGATTTCTGCCACTTTCTCAAGTCCAGTCTGTGTTCCTCCCCAGGAAGATACGACTGGACGCGTGGGCGCCAAAGCATGTCTGTGACGTAAATTCATAATTTAATTCTTGCTACGCGTCAGGTGGCCAGAACTGTCATCTGATGACAATCATAGGCAGGCCCACATGACAACTAAATACAGTATTGTGCAAAAGTAATGAGAGCGAAATACGCAAATTTTGTTCTTTGTCTCTGCAAACTTTCAAAGAAAGTTTGTGCGAAAATTCAAGCGTCTTTTCGCAATGTCTTGAGCATTATTTCTTTAAAACAAAGGACGAAAATTCGCGGCATTTTCAAGACTAGAATGACAATTCCTTACCAGAGGGATAATTCTGCTGACCAGTATCGAGCCATCAATGTATTGTTCTCTCGTGAACAGTTGCGGTCACGTTGACGCTTTACTCCTTATATGACCGCTAGTCCGGGTAAACTCAGATCAAAGTAAAATTCTCAATAAGGTCTTCTTGAAGGCCTACTTCACCTCAAAATTCATCCAAAGTGACATCAAATTTAGTGATCGATGGACAAGCAGACATGAAGAAGCTAGTCATAAAAGGGGATAAGTGATGATTTTGGTTGCTTTTCTTTTTTCTCGCTCCAAATTAGCTGAATTTTTGGATGTGGTCTTCAATGTAATAGAAAAACGTGGTTCTGTATTTTTGTCGCTGGTTTTTGCTTTGTTTTCGAG